CAATTCGGCGTGGCATGGAGGGGATCAGTTTGTGGCACTGCTGAGGTGGTATGGAAGCCCAGGTTTCTTTGACAGTGGCCTTCAGCTCATCTGCATTTTTTGGTCTCTTGTTTCTCATTTTCCTCTTGACAATACCCCATAGATTCTCTATGGGGTTCAGGTCTGGTGAGTTTGCTGGCCAGTCAAGCACACCAACACCATGGTCATTTAACCAACTTTTGATGCTTTTGGCAGTGTGGGCAGGTGCCAAATCCTGCTAGAAAATGAAATCAGCATCTTCAAAAAGCTGGTCAGCAGAAGGAAACATGAAGTGCTCCAAAATTTCTTGGTAAACGGGTGCAGTGACGTTGGTTTTCAAAAAACACAATGGACCAACACCAGCAGATGACATTGCACCCCAAATCATCACAGACTGTGGAAACTTAACACTGGACTTCAAGCAACTTGGGCTATGAGCTTCTCCACCCTTCCTCCAGACTCTAGGACCTTGGTTTCCAAATGAAATACAAAACTTGCTCTCATCTGAAAAAAGGACTTTGGACCACTGGGCAACAGTCCAGTTCTTCTTCTCCTTAGCCCAGGTAAGACGCCTCTGACGTTGTCTGTGGTTCAGGAGTGGCTTAACAAGAGGAATACGACAACTGTAGCCAAATTCCTTGACACGTCTGTGTGTGGTGGCTCTTGATGTTTGACCCCAGCCTCAGTCCATTCCTTTTGAAGTTCACTCAAATTCTTGAATCGATTTTGCTTGACAATCCTCATAAGGCTGCGGTTCTCTCGGTTGGTTGTGCATCTTTTTCTTCTACACTTTTTCCTTCCACTCAACTTTGTTAACATGCTTGGATACAGCACTCTGTGAACAGTCAGCTTCTTTGGCAATGAATGTTTGTGGCTTACCCTCCTTGTGAAGGGTGTCAATGATTGTCTTCTGGACAACTGTCAGATCAGCAGTCTTCCCCATGATTGTGTAGCCTAGTGAACCAAACTGAGAGTCCATTTTGAAGGCTCAGGAAACCTTTGCAGGTGTTTTGAGTTGATTAGCTGATTGGCACCATATTCTAATTTGTTGCCAAAATCATCACAATTAAAAGAACCAAAGACTTAAACTACTTCAGTCTGTGTGCATTGAATTTATTTAATACACAAGTTTCACAATTTGAGTTGAATTACTGAAATAAATGAACTTTTCCACGACATTCTAACTTATTGAGATGCAGGTTTGGATATATATATATATATATATATATTTAAACAATTAGATTGCAGACTAATGAGACTATTTGTAACATAAATATTTATAAGTATTGTGTTGTGCTTAATTCATTAAATACATTTGTATTGTGAAAATGTAACACTTTAACTTTTAAATTAAGTAAAGTGTACTATTTGGATATTTTAATTTAATAAATAAAAGATAGTGGTCAAATACTACTTACTGTATATAAAACTATAAAACCAAAAACTGGTCAGTTGTGAATCAGTCTGTGAATCGGATTAAAACACAGTTGAGTTTCCTGTATAGTTTGGCTGATTTTTAAACGTCCATATCAATGTTAAAACCACCCCTATGCCCTGAGTATGATAATGATAATGATATTCATAGGCTTTAATATCAGGGTAACAGCCCAGCTCTGCTTAGCAAGAATAGCTGTTAAAACTACCATTTGGTCTCTCACCTGAGGGAATGGGAACAAATGTGCAGTATATTTCTTTTTTACCGTTATCTGTGTGAGTGATAAAACGTTCACAGGATGTCAGATTTCCCGTGCCCAGAGAGTCTCTTTACACCACTGCAGTACAGATGAACACAGGAAGTTGCTTTGGCAGGCCGGGAATGATAGAGCTGGATGGACGCGATGGAACCCTGTTGAGAGAACAGTGAGAACAATGAAAGAAAGGAGGAAGACGCACACTGATGTGTGAGCAGAGAACTCAACATGCTTTGCCAAGTATCACCCAGCTTGCCCTGCACAGGTGTGTTGCCAGCGTGCAAGGACCCCGGCCTGCTGCAAACCAGCTGCCAAGGGACGTCCACGACTGGGTGCACCGCTGTTTGAGACAGCCTAGAGAGGGAATGGCGTGCCGCTTCCTGAGATCGTCCCGGCGCTCAGCAAGAACGCATTCATCACTCATCGGTGTGACATAGAAAACCATCTGGCCGCATGCTGAGAGACATGGCTTTAGAGAGAGGGGGATGAGAAGCACTTACGAGCAACCTGGAAGAGTGTGAAAGAGCTGTAGGTGTACGCTGAGAGGGAGATAAGAACACACTGGAGAAGAACACATTTCTAGTGCATTGGCATGCTGGGGAATTTCATTAGTATGTTGTCAAACTGTGATATTTCTTTTGTATTTTTCCACTCAAGTGTACAGGAAACATGTGGCACTGTCCGCCACAGTGAAAAAAAATAAAATTATATATATATATATATATATTCAATTTATTCCCATTTAGAATATATATTAACTTCATACCCAGAAGATAAAATTAATAAAAAAAAACATATACATATATATATAAATTAGATTTAATATTTTTCCTGGGTATATGGATAATATGTACGTTTAAATGAGTATGTATGCTGTTAAAACTACTATTTGGTCTCTCAACTGAGGGAATGGGAACCAATGTGCAGTATATTTCTTTTTTACCGTTATCTGTGTGAGTGATAAAACGTTCACAGGATGTCAGATTTCCCGTGCCCAGAGAGTCTCTTTACACCACTGCAGTACAGATGAACACAGGAAGTTGCTTTATGGATAATATGTACGTTTAAATGAGTATGTATGTATGTATGTATGTGTGTGTGTGTATTTATTGACAATGGATTGATGATGGGATTTTTAATTTTATTTTATCATTAGCTTAAATTGTTTTTTGGAAAAAAGGGAAGTGGTATTTTAGATTTAATATCATACCTGGGTATACGGGTAATATGTGTGTTTAAATGAGTATGTATGTATGTATGTATGTATGTATGTATTCATGTATTTATTTAATATACTCAAGCTAGATTCTTGTTTTTTTATTAATTTAGATTTCTATTTTATTAATTCCTGTTTACAGTATGTATGTATGTATGTATGTATGTATGTCTTTATTTATTTATTTATAAAAACAAACAAACAAACAAAAAACAACAACTCTGGATTCACAATGAGCAGACATGAATCATTCTTGCATAAAATGATTGCATTTAGTACATTTGCATTGCATACAAATGCATAACAAACTATTTTTTTGTCAAATTTGAACTGTTTGACTCATGATTTTGTTTGTAATATATTTGTTTTGATGCCTTAATGTGCAGAATATTACAAATATTTCACCGCACATTGTTAAAAGAGTCACAACATTTTTTTTTTTTTTTTTGGTTGACTCAAATGATGTATTACGTTGCAGTTAAGTTCTTGAACAACTTGAAATTAACATTTTGTTATTTATATTTTAGGTTATTGCAAGTGATTAGGGTTACACTTTATTTTAAGGTGTCCTTGTTACAGTGTAATTATACATATATAAGTACTGAGTAATATTAATTAACTACATGTAGGCTACTTACTATATGGTTAGGGTTAGGATTTGGGTTTGGCTTAGGGTTACTTGCATGTAACTATGCATAATGAATTGTTATTATAATAGTAAGTACATGTAACATGTGTAACAAGGACACCTTAAAATAAAGTGTTACCGTGATTAGAAACAGCATAAAAGACAGCATTTAAGTATTTTATTAATGGTGTGGAATGAAAGTTGAATGAAAGGTCCTCCAGTGTACACCAAGCAACTTACAGGAGACCAAGTTTTGTTGTTTGGACTAGCACAGCATTTTCTATTGGCAGCATGAGGAAAGGAAATGATGTTAGCACTGTAGCGTTTCAGTGTTCACACATCTAGATGTACTTGGCCCTTTAAAATGAGCTTGTGTTTCCTGGCTGTTTTATGCTCAGTAATCATTGGGGCTGATGACTCTCCTGAGATGGCTGCTCATATGATTAACTGTCCCGCTTGACTTTAATGTCCGACAACTAGGTGTATCGAAGGCATCCATTGGCTCGTTCAACATTAAACCTTTCCAAATGTTAGCAGCAGGAACACAATGACTTATGAGGTCATGTTAGTTTATTTTCCATTGCTCAAGGTTTGTGCTTTGTAGACCCTGTTATGTGTCTTTGGAAACAATGACTGCGTTGTAGTCGCATAAAAATTGTCTACAATTTTGTACAATACAACCAAGCATATCAAGCAATATTAAACAACTACTTAGAGTGGAATTTCCTGTAGGATTTAGTTTGAATTAATAATGTCCTATAATGTCCTATTCAAATAATGCTGTTTGAAATGAAAGGCTGAAGTGAATGTGATGTGCTCTATGCGGTGAACTGAATGTCGGTGGAGCTCACCCAATGTGTTCTTATGCTGCTTTAAATCACTTGCTGCAGTTGAAGAGCTCTCATTAAACCCACATAACAACACCTGGATGCTGCTGTACAGTTTTTGTTTGTTGTGTGCTTTGGAATAAGTTAGATCTGTGTATGTGATCACTTTTATCATTCAGAGAGATGACATTAAAGTATGTTTTAATTTATCCTAAATGTCAAATTTAGTTTCCCAAAAATACACTCTAACCATATATTAAAGACAATAGAAGAAATTATGTAATTACATACAAAGATGTACTAAAGTCCTAATAAAGTGGGCCAAAAAAATCACTCTCAACTAGCTGCATTTAATTTAAATTTCAACTATAATTTATTTTCATGAATTTGTAAATATGCACTGAAATATCTGAAAACATTGCATTCAGTTCACCTTTTTTTTCGTATGCTAAAGTGTACTTCTTTAATCAAAGGAAAGTAAGAGTATAGAGCTATAAAATGAATGTGGATGTTGGTCATCTTTAGTTAATAATATAATGAAATGAAAAGGGTAATGCCACAAATGCTTTTTAAAATCAAAACTGGGAGCAAATAAAAATGTTTGTTTGTTATTATCACAGGAACCCTTCTGGTGGAGAACATGCAGATAAACGGGAGAGCAGAAGACCCTGACAGGACCATCTCTTTATCTCTACGGGACAACCATGACTACTGGGTCATTCTGGACCCGGTCAAGCAATGCCTGTATCTCAACAGCACCGGACGAGTTCTGGACCGAGATGTAATTATTTGGCATCATTATGCTATACAAGTCCATTGAATGCTAGTGGTGCCGAAATCACACTCCACCTTTAAAGGAATAGTTCACAAAAAAATGAAAATTGGCTGAAAATGTTCTCACTCTCAGGCCATCCAAGATATAGATGAGTTTGTTTCTTCATCGGAACAGATTTGGAAAATTTAGCATTACATCACTTGCTCACCAATGGATCCTCTGCAGTGAATGGGTGCCGTCAGAATGCGAGTCCAAACAGCTGATAAAAACATCACAATAATCCACATGAAACCAGTCCTCTCACATCAAAATCCACCAACATATTTTAGTTTTGGATTGTTTTCTCTTGATCTGTGCATATTTCTCTCCTGATTCAGACAAGACAACTTTTTCACTGGAGAAAGCGATATTACTTTTTACTTTTACTTTACTTTACTTTTAGTCATTTAGCAGACGCTTTTATCCAAATATCAAAACTCAAATTGAATTCAGCTGGACACACTTTCCTGTTTATCCCAACAAATGGCCAAGCAAAGCGCACGACACTGACAAGGTACGCGATACAGTACGAGACCAAACGCCATTATTATGAATAGAGGACTCACATTTTAGCCAGAAGCAATGCTTCGAAGTTAAAATGGCTTGATGGATTTGCTTCTTAAAAAAAAAAAAGCATGCAGCTTTTTGCTCCAGAAAGACATTCATTGATGGACTGGAGTGGTGTGGATTACTTGTGGATTGTTGTGATGCTTTTATCAGCTGATTGGAGTCTCATTCTGACGGCACCCATTCACTGCAGAGGATCCATTGATGAGCAAGTGATGTAATGCTGAATTTCTCTATATCTGCTTTTCATTCTCAGGTGAACTGTTCCTTTAAATGTGGTAATAAAACATGAACCTGTTTAGGATTTTTTAAATCTTAAAATTGTTATGCTGATAATGTAACTTGTAATAAAATAAATCCACTGGTGGTCTCAGACTTTTGGACCCTCTTTATCCGTTCATTTTTTTGGTTCAATCAGAACTATGATAAAACAAAAAAGTTCCTCTCTTTTGCTTGGAAACCTGTTGTTCACAGCATGCACTTTGTAATGGGCTCCATAATGGACTGCAAACAAATGGTCATTTTTCGGTCAGTCTGCTGAATGCACACCATGCAAATGAACTTGCTCGATTTGTCTCTTTTATTTTTGTCTTTCAGCCTCCCTCCTACATTCATTCCATTGTGGTGCAGGTTCAGTGTACTAATGAGCTTGTTGGCACGGTGATCCTACACGAGGTGCGGATAGTCGTACGGGATCGAAATGACAACCCCCCACGCTTTCAGCAGCCGCGCTACTATGTTGCGATTTATGAGGTGAGTTTGTATTAAGCAGGCCCTCTTTTGTTCTTCTTCTGTAGTTGTAATGACTTTTTCACAAGTTACGTTTCTACAGTTTCTGGAGAACATCAACGTCACCGGCATTCTGGAGCACACCGTCATTAGAAGTTTGCTGAAGTGAATTGGTTTAGCTAAAACTGAACACTTGCCAGCTGTAATTGGAAATTCAATCAGTGGATTGTGCCAGTGTGATGGTTTACCGATGATGGGGTTATTTTGTGGTAAATGAATTGCACTTGTGGGCTTTGGAGCTGAAGCATTTAGCTGTTAACGTTTCTCTGTCTTTGACTGCTGTGTAATTACCCCAGAAGTGCTGTAGCTCACTGAATAAATCTGCCAGTCCCCTTTTGTGACTTATTTAGCTTCTCTGTGTTTTTCCGCCATAAGTTATGGCTGTATCGTAAATTCCCATTTCACCATTGCACGGTATGCACAATTTTGGTTGATACTTTTCTTTATATACTCTGCCCCTCTATTTTTTGCTTCCCAAATCACAACAGTTAAAGCCTATTTATTCTAGTATACACTACCAGTCAAAAGTTTGTAATAATTACAATTTTTTAATGTTTTTTTTTTAATAAGTAGTCTCTTATTCTCACTAAGACTGCATTTATTAAATCAAAAATAAATTAAAAACAGTAATATTGTGAAATGTTTTACAGTTTTAAAGAACTGTTTTCAGTTTGATTGTATATTTAAAATGTAATTATTTCTGTGATTGCAATGATGAGTCTTCATTCAGTGTCACATGATCCTTCAGACATCATGGGTTTGCTGCTCAAGAAATAGTCTTTGTATTGTTCGTTTTGTTAACAATGCTGAAAACGGATCACAACTGTTTTCAGCATTGTTAATAATAAGAACAATGCAAAATTGTTCTTAGTATTTTAATGTTTCTTTTTTTTTGTGGAAAATGTGATGTGAAAATGTGAACACTACCATTCAAAAGTGTGGTGTAAGAAAGATTTTTTTTTTTTTTAAGAAAATAAATGAATACTCATGTGACAGTAAAGAAATTTATAATATTACGTAAGGTTTCCATTTCAAATGAACACTGTTCTTTTGAACTTTATATTCATCAAGTAATCCTAAATGTTTTCTATAAAAATATTAAACAGAACAAATTGTTTTCAACATTGATACTAATAATAAGAATCATAATATGATTTATATATTAATTTATTGAAATTAATTATATTAATTTTGATGAATTATTCTAATAATAATTCATACAATTTGAGCAGCAAATGAGATATGAATATGCATATATTGAATATGCATTTGTAGGAGTTTCCTTTCAGACGCTAAATTTATGGGAGGAGAGTATTGAATCGCGTGTTTACTAACATTTGCGCTCGTCAAATTGCTGGTATTTGCGCCATTATTTAACGCTCCAAAAAAGCATGTCTTAAAGCAGACGCTAATTTGCGCTGCTCTTGGTAGATTGTGTTAGTCATTATGGAAATGATCTGACTGTGTCTGTGTTCTTTAATTTGCGCATTGTCAGTAAATCACCCACAGAAATGTCCACTCCCATTTGCGCTTTTTTTGGAATTGCGCTCTCACGCTAATTTGCCCTGTTTAGTAAATCGGGCCCTTAATCTCTAATAACTCCATTTTGCTCTCTGATTTTTTATTTATTTTTTGTCTGTGTTTCTATGTCTGAACACAGCACTGTTCACAAACTGTATGGTATCGGCTTTTGGTATTGGAGCATTTTACGAGTATGAGTACTGGAGCACAGTATTGGGCCGATACCGTATAAGTAGTTTATAGTATTACTGTTTTTACTTTTTTGTTTTGTTGCTGTTAATGGAATAAATGCAGTATTGGTGAGCATAAGGTACTTTTTTTTTTCAAGTTTATTCCAAACTTTTGACCGGTAATGTAAAGTTCTACATCATTTCGTAAAAAAAAAAAAAAAAAAGTATACTGTCTATATGAGAAATAGTAAGTCCTCTATATACAGTAATAGAGGTGATATTTCTGGTTGGGTTTGTATGAGCTGTCTGAAACATGAATATTAGCTACATATATTAATTATGATGAACATGCTACAGCTATGAACATTTGCAGCCCTGAGAAACTGAATTTTCATTTTACATGTGTCTAAAGGACAAGATATGGACAGTGCTGGATGGAAAATGTCAAACTAACATTAGTGACTTCATTCAAATTCATTATTAATTAGTCTAAAATAAGAGATATGCAAAGGGCAGAAGTTGTGTAAAACTTTGTGAATGACAGTAATGCCAGTTCTGTGAGGTTTCACGGTGCAGATTTTGTGTGGGCCTGCCATTACGGTCACGGTACGTTGCATTCTATGACTCAATCTTTACCGTTAAAAACGGTGTCCATTTCTGGAAATCCATTAGCCCTATTTTTATTTTTTCCATCACTTTGGATTAGTTTCCGAGAACATTCAACACATAGTGTCATGGTGGGTCTGTAGGAATGCTGCCTCGGTCTCCAGAGATCTTCTCACATTGGATAGACTGCATGGAGAGTGTGTGGCTTTCAGCTAATTGAGAGTTGTTCCCCGGAGAACTGTCAGTAGAGATTTCCCTCATTAGGAAGCAGCTTCAGTGGCAGGCAGCCTCCTCTCGAGTGGCCTCAAAAAAACGGCAAGCTGTATTGCCCACTATCGATTTCAACCGGAGTTTGAAACGTCTGACCGACACACAGATAAGGGGGACTAACACAGCTCAGTCCATCAGTCAACAAGCACTGCAGAGCGCACTATATAAGTCCACACAGTGCTGAAGCAGCCTGCTGAGTTTAAGAGAGACGGTGAAGTAAATAATAATGTTGGGGAAAAAGCATTTGATGGATGTGTGGATTGCATTGCAAGCCGTTCTAAATGGTTAAAGGGTTGTGTGTGTTCATTGAGTGCCTGCAGATGCCGTGAAGTTATAGCGAGAAGAAGTTCAGATTAACTTTCCATTGATCAATGTCACTAACTTAATGTCCTTTTGCCCTACAGCTATTGAGATTGATCGGATGTCTTAAACAGTAAGCTACAAGAGGCTGTGCTATAGTATGAATACCGTCAAGCTGAAGGCTGTTGTTTGCCATTTTAGCCATGACTATATTTGCTTGTAGCCTTTTATTTATGTCTGTGCCAAGAAGCATGATTTGCTACTTGCTATTGTTAGAGAGAGCAGAAAGGACAATATAATTCAAGAGATCACTTGATTGGACAAGATGAGTTATTAATGTTTCAGTTCTATAAAGCCTATTGTATCATATATGAAACTTGATTTTCTAAGGCCTCTAAATGATCAACATGATCAAAAAGTTAGATTTTTATGAAAGTAAACTTGTAGAATAACTTTTACATTGTTAGTAATATTAAAGGGGTCATGAACTGGCTTTTTATTATTTTATACTGTTGTCTGATGTCTACTTATGACATTTGTGTGTTTTTTACATAAAAAAAAAACATCAAAATCAAATAAGTAAGGCTATTTCTACCCTGGTTTTGACGCTCAGTTTTTATGGGCGTGCCGCATTGAAGACTTGGAAGTAAACGCCCGCTGCTATGATTGGATAACAGTTTTGCATAGTAAACTAACTTTCTGTGTGTCTGTTTGACAAGCTACTTCCTTCATAGTTGGAGCCTTCTGTGACTTTGGTTAGACACGTACACATTATCAGGACATATCAAGCGATCTCTAACAAAGCAATAGTGACACACAGTACAAATATTTTTTACTCACATAAGTGTGCTGCGCCATTCCTGTCGGATCCAATATAGACGCACAGCATTGCTTTTTAATCTCAGTCTCTCTGCAAATTTTATTGCTTGGTTGCTCGATCTGGTTTAGCGCCACTTATGTTATTGCCCTACTATGTCATGCGCAAATCAGTGGGCGGGGCTAGATAATTGGGCGTTGATATTCTTCTGTGGAGGCGGTGTTTAACCTATCTATTATGTCATAGGTAGGCACATTCCAGGATCTGGCGTTCGCTGGGCCTGGTGTTAATAAAAGCTTTTATTTCAGTAACAAGGACGTTTTCAGTTCTGAAATTTACAGGATATTCTTTTAGTACGATGATCTCTTATATATCAAAAGCTCAAGTAAAAGTTGATTTCGAAATTCATGACCCCTTTAAAACGTAAACATTTACTGGACTTAAGCTTCCTTTTTTTCCTCCATAATTGTTGTAGTCTTCACTCTCAAAAAAAAAAAATTAAAAAAAATGTGCAACAGCTGTTACTGGGGCAGCACCCTTTCAAAAAGTACAAATATGTACAATTTAAGTACTAACAGGGTTGCAAATGGGTAGAACATTTCCAGGGAAGTTTTTGAAATGTTCTGAAAATTTCCAAAATGTTAAGAAAGTTTCCAAAAAATCCTGGAAAGTTTCCAAAAATTCTGGAGAGTTTCCAGAAATTTACTGGACATTTTCCACCCCTTTGCAACCCTAGGTACTAATGCCTGTATGTATAAGGTAGGGGTAAATAAGGAACAAAGGTGTACCTTTCGCCCCAGTGACAACTTTCATACCTTTTTTTCTGAGAGTATATATAAGTGTATTGATCATAAAAAAATCTAATTTTGGAAGTAAAATAAACCTCTTAATTAAATCTGTTGATATACTCTAAAGACTTGGATTAAACTGTTCAATGCCTTAATGACTTTTTTTGGAAGTTTTGGTTGCCTGGACTTTCAGTAGAGGGACAAAAAGCTCTCAGGTTTCATTAATAATATCTTCAAGTCAAAGTTTGAAGTCTTATGGGTTTGGTACCACATGAGGGTGAGTAAATGCTGACAGAATTTAAATTTTTGGGTGAACTATACCTTTAAGGTGTGCCTTTAGCCCCGTTGTACCCTACCAAAGCTGCTTAAGGCAAGCCTCCAAGGTTAGCTAAAAAAAATAAAAATAAAAATTCTAACGAGGCCAGAGGTGTCTTTTTGAATGGATATCAATGGAGAAAAGGCTTCATTACACTGAGTAAACTGCTTTTGTATGAAAACGGCTTATCATTTTGATGAATCAGTCACCTATTGGCTAATCTTCAACCGTCTGCCTTTAAAAATTATTTTTTAGATTAACCTATTTTTAGAGTTTACATTGAGAAAAAAAAAAAAAATCACGGACACTTTTAATTATCCGTAAATAGTGATTGACTCTTGCACAATTCTGACAGAAATTCGATGACGTTGAGGCTGTAATGTGATTGGTTATCAAGACACACATGATCCAACATGACTGTTACACTTTCTCCAGTAATAATAAGACTAATGATGATAAAAAAAAGTAATAATAAGCTGCTAACAAAAAGTAGCTAACTACACTGAAGCTATTAAAGCGATTTTCATTCAAGCTGCTTGTGTAAACAATATGACAAAAAAGCAGCAATGTAGCACTAGCTCATTGTTTTGAAAGCAACTGAGCTACCTTAACACTTCTGAAGAAATGTAGTGATGTTAGTTCCTCTCCCACACAATATGGCACTTGTAGTGGAACATATGCTAATAGTGGTGCAATCGTGCTCTACTTGACACCGTCAGATCCACTCAGTATGTGGTTTCTAGGAGCTAATTTTGTATCACAGGCTGTTTAATTACTCTTTGTTCATAGCTCAATGTGATAGCCGCACATGACCTCTTTATGACAGCAGTCGGAGAGTTTTCTTCAGACCGTGATGGCGGACGTTTTCATCTTAAAGGCTCTCTGAAGCGTCTTAACTCTCTTTGTCAGTTTTGTTGTCAGGAATTTGTCTTTTTTTCCCTCTAATATGTCTTGTCAGAACGTCAGAGTAGCGGCGTTGGAACTAAAATCTGAGTTCCCAGGTGCCTCTAGCTTCCGCAGCAGACTCGTACCTATTACTTCCTCTTTTTCCTCGCACTTCTGAGAGCCGCACCACAGCAGGACCTCGTTATGACAGCCAGAATGAGAGCGATGAAGAGAGCGAGCGCTGTCTACTTTATAAGAGCTGGTCCATCAAACTCTTCCTCAGAGGAGTGCTGTTTAACACAACGGTCAAGACGCTTGAGGCGTAAACTAGTCCGCCAACTTAGTTGTCAGGAATTTGTCTTTTTTCCCCTCTAATATGTCTTGTCAGAACGTCAGAGTAGCGGCGTTGGAACTAAAATCTGAGCTCCAGGTGCCTCTAGCTTCCGCAGCAGACTCGTACCTATTACTTCCTCTTTTTCCTCGCACTTCTGAGAGCTGCACCACAGCAGGACCTCGTTATGACAGCCAGAATGAGAGCGATGAAGAGAGCGAGCGCTGTCTACTTTATAAGAGCTTGTCCATCAAACTCTTCCTCAGAGGAGTGCTGTTTAACACAACGGTCAAGACGCTTGAGGCGTAAACTAGTCCGCCAATTTACCAGCACCAGGAATCAGGAATTTCAAGATGATGAAATCACTCAGGATGAAAACGCACTCACGCTGATGGCCGGCCGACTGAGGCAGTTTTAAAGATCTTAAATGTTTTTTACTCCATAATGTGTGTTTTTATCCTTTCCAGCTAACGCCTGTCGGAACCACCATCTTCTCAGGTTTTACAGGGAACAATGGGGCTGTTGACATTGATGATGGTCCTAACGGACAAATTGAATACACCATTCAGTACAACCCTAAAGATCCGGTATGTGTTTGTCTTTTCTCTTTTGTTTTCATTGTGTGTGTGTGTGTGTGTGTGTGTGTTAGTGAAAAAATAAATAAATAAATAAATCCTAAACTTAAAAAGACTACATATAAATGACTTCTTTTTTTACTAGCTAATGTCTTCAAATAAAATTTGAGTAATAACGTGTATGTAACATACAGATTATGCATTGATATGAAAATACAACAATAATAATAAAAATAATAATAATAATTAGTAGTAGTAGTAGTAGAAGAAGTAGTAGTAGTATTCTATAAGTAGAAATCATTTTTAATACTATTGTTGGTAACATGTTATTGTTATATTTATCATGTATTTATCATAAAAATAGCAGTGAATTATTCATAATTACGAGCAACTAAAACAAACCCTAACCGTATAGTAAGTACATGTTAATTAATACTACTCTGTACTTGTTTGTGTAATTACACTGTTACAAAGACAACTTAAAATAAAGTTTAACCCAATTTTTCAAATTTCTAACAATTGGTCGAGTCAAGTCAAGTCACCTTTATTTATATAGCGCTTTATACAATACAGATCGAGTCAAAGCAGCTTTACAGTGTTAAACAGGAACATAGTTTGTCAGTAATGCAAGATAAAATATTGGTCAGAAGTATTTTATCATAAGATTAATAACATCTTTATTTTTTATTTTATATTATTTATATATTTTTTGTTATTTTACAGTTTGATTTTATTGACAGCAGTAGTTTTATGTTTCTCTTCAGGTTTATGCATTTAACAGTACTACGACAGTGGGTACTCTCACATATCACATATTTGTATCATATTTTCTTTTTCTTTATACATTTTTAATATGGTCTTGCTAAAAAGTGTGCTAAAAAGGGAGTACAGAGACTTTCTGACAGGTGCTTTTCAATTGATTTACTTCACAACCTTACAAAACCTGCATTGTTGTGCATCATTGATTATCGCCGAGCATCATATAGCACAATTCAGCAACATGAAAATATTCCGACAAAACTGCAATAAATGCACCAAATAAAATATAGCAAAGAAAACGCATGTCATGAAATGCAAATAAAATAACTCCAACAAATCATTTCAATTAATATGGTGGTATTACACATGCAAATTTGTGACATTCTCTTACTGCTTCTCAATGAGCAGCATTATTACCATAAGTGGAGTGAGAGGAGCTAAACACTCCAAACCACATTTTTCAGTAACATTATACAACAAATATGCATTTAACTAAACACATCAACACACAGTACAAAATAATGAAAGTCACACACCTAGGTTCACTTAGTCTACTATATTCTGAAGATAATCGAGTTTAACCTGAATAACTTGAAATGTGTACAAGACTTTATGCTGATATTCAGTGGTCTGGCTATACAAGACTACTACTGCATGTTCACTTCCTAATTAAAGTTTTACACCATTTACACATCAAACACTTTTGATTTCAAAAGAGCATGAAGCACCCTGTCTCCATGTCCTTTTTAAAGTGTTCCGTCTCCATCTGTACTGCTAAACAGGGTGAGGAGGTTTTGAAAGTCAAGTAGTTTTGTCCCATCAGCATTCTCTTCTTACTGAAGCAGATTGATGATGAATATCTCATGAGGCTGGGAGTGCGTGAGCCTTTGTGTGCATGTGTGTGAGGGAAACCCTTTTGACCTACCCTTTGCTTCTCCACAGACCACAAACAGGACATTCGACATCCCTCTCACCCTGTCTGGATCAGTGGTTCTGAGAGAGAGGCTGAATTATGAAGAGATCACACGCTACCTGGTCATCATTCAGGCCAACGTAAGAGGTTTAGAAACAGTAGGAGAGATACAGTAGATAAAAGAAAGAAAGATTTACTCAACCACATGTCGTTCCAACCCTGTATGTCTTGTTCTTTCTTCTGTGGAACACAAACTGAGATGTTAGACAGAGTGTCCAAGCTTCTTTTGTCCATAAAACAAAAGTAGATGGTGATTTACTCTGTCGAACTCAAAAATGTTTCAAAAAAGAGCTAAAAAAGTAGTTTATACAACTGAAATTACTTCTTATGAAGTTGTATGAGAACTTTGTGTGAGAAACAGACTGAAATTGAAGCTGTTATTCACTGGAAATCTCCTCCAGATCCCTCACGTCTCATTTGGTGTTGTGTTCAATTCAGAAACAATGCCTTTAGACACGTCATGCCATGTGTTTGCCATTAAATGCAGCTAAACGGCATTGGTTGGACTTGAATTTCAGTCTGCTCCTCAAATGAAGGCTTCAAACTACTTGGAATATAGTCGAAAAGAGTTGCAAAAACTATTAAGGTTTAAAGGTGTGGCCACATTTACTGTTGTTCAGCCAATTTTCATTGGCGAAATTCAATAGGAATCCACATGATTGGGAATTTCGTGTGAGGGTGAAAGATTTCCCCACGCAGATTTTGCAACGGGTTCAAGTTGGTCACACAAATCTGTAGCCTTGACTAACAGAAAACTGCTTGGTTTGAAAGTAATTTATGTGTGAGCTGTTCTTTATACACTCGCTACACTGTTGACAGTAGATAATGGACCTTATTTACCCACAAAATTACGCCAAGCTTTTGCTAATGTGACCACACCTGTAATCAGTATCTTGGACTTGTTTGTGTAGACTTTTTTTTTTAGACTTAGACAGCCTTTTGCAACCAATTTCACTCCAGGTTAAACAAGATATTCAACCACAAAAATGCAGGGCTTGAAGTGAGAGGATTAGAAAAGTAAGTGAGATGCCCAATTTTCTGTCAGTAAAATGTCTTATTTTGCCTTTGACTGGAGAGTCTTTTTGGCTGGCGAGTAAGTTTGGAATTTTGGAGTTGGATTCAAACTCCATCCCTAAGTCCAAAGTTTGTGTTTCCCTTCAGGACCGAGCTCCAAACCCGAAGGACCGGCTCACCGCCACCACCACACTCACAGTGGATGTGTTGGACGGGGATGACCTGGGCCCAATGTTTCTGCCTTGCAGCCTGGTAGACAACACCCGTGACTGCAAACCTCTTACGTACCGCGCCAGCATCCTGGAGCTCACAGATCCGGTGAGCGGTTCCTTATCCTGTGCTTTTCCAGCTGTGTCTTACGTTGAGTAGTTACGTTAAGTCTCCTCATATATTGTAGCTCCAGCCCGAGAATTTAACTGGGACTGGTTTATAGTTTGACTGACATGTATTTTGCATTTCTGGTCTTGAAGAACATCTCTTTTACTTGACAGACCAAATGGCTTTGCATTGCACACGCTTCTAGCAATAGGGATCGTTTTCATTCTGGTTTCTTTTCCGAATCCACTTGACAATTCCAGTGTTTCGATTCTTTTAGTATTTAGTATTTAGTATCACTTATTTTGGCCCTGTCCCAAATGGCACACTTCATGTGCACTTGCGGTCTTGCGGACTTACAATGGCCGCCATGTGCACATGTTCGTTAAGTCCGTGAGACCGTAGGGTGTCCCATTCGTCATTTGAGCTTTCAGAAGAGTGCTCTCGATGCACACTTCTGCCGAGCCCACACTGGAGCGAGCTCTGCAGCAGACTTCTACCCGACAATCAAAGCGGCATCACGTCACAAAAGTGTGGACTCAGAGGAAGACCGCAAAGGTTTAGAGTGCGATTTGGGACAGAGCCTTAGTCTCATGGGACATTTGACACATTTTGGTTCATTTTGAGTTGGACATGTCGAAAATAATGACTTGCAGTTCATTAAATAAGTCAATAGCCTATTTGGTGAGGGAATGACTCCTAAAACTGATTCAAACAGACTTACTTATCAGTTTGAGACTGATTATTTTGACAGATATCTCAAAAATGGCTCATAAGACTCATTTGTTGCAGTTTAGTGAATAAACCAAGAACTGCTCCACTGAGTGAGTCATTAAACTGATTCAAACAGGATTTTTTTGAGTTATTTGATACAATTCATTTAAAAGACTTGCTCATTTTGGTGAATTTGATAATTTGGGTCTTGCTGTATGATTACTTGCCGTTAAAATTAAAAAAATTAAATGCCATTACAACCCTTCTGGTTCCAGTAGTTTTAAAAATGGACACAGTTCTGAGTAAGAACCAATTTTTGGCTCACAACCATACAAACAAGTCTATGTTATGTTGCCATTACTTTTTAATTACCACTAAAAATGAGTTTGTGAAGTGAAGCTTAATATTGATAAATGAGATGATTAAGGGATACTTTGTGAGTGAGAATGAACGTGTAGGCAACAAATTGCAAGTGTAAAGTGTAAATAATACAAAAGTCTTATTTTTGTGCTAAACTTTGTCTGGCTCAAGGGTAAAGTGGTGATGGGGTTTTTAGTAACTCAGTTCACGGGTCACCCCTATCTGCGATTGCACCTGCAATAGTTGCAGCACCAGCGCAGAGCCTTGAGCACTAGGATATCGCCATCCGGCTTATGTGATAAATGCTTCTTTAAAAACATGAAATTATGGCCATAGGGCATACAACCTTAAATCAGCATTTCTATTAGCTTCAGATTTGGTTGATGTATTGAAAACTTGATTTATTTTCAGCCAACTCTCAACAAAGTGAAATGATGTTTGACTTGAATATTGCACATTGTTGTTGTTTTTTTGTTTGCATGAAACTGCATTCGTAACCTATTTTACTCCGGTAATATGATGTGTTTATGAGTGAAACAGGTTAATAAACAATGAAATGGGTAGGACAGAACATAACTTTATTTACTGAGAGTTAATGAAAAGTAAGAGTTACCAGAAAAAAACCAGACCAGAGTGTAAGTTTGCAAAAACAATGCTAGTTAACATTAACCAATAGTAAGAATGGGCATTAAAAAAAAAGAAAAGAAAAAAAAAAAAATATATATATATACAGTGGGTACGGAAAGAATTCAGACCCCCTTAAATTTTTCACTCTTTGTTATATTGCAGCCATTTGCTAAAATCATTTAAGTTAATTTTTTTTCCTCATTAATGTACACACAGCACCCCATATTGACAGAAAAACACAGAATTGTTGACATTTTTGCAGATTTATTAAAAAAGAAAAACTGAAATATCACATGGTCCTAAGAATTCAGACCCTTTGCTGTGACACTCATATATTTAACTCAGGTCCTGTCCATTTCTTCTGATCATCCTTCAGATGGTTCTACACCTTCATTTGAGTTATATATATATATGAACAATATCACTCGAGTACGAGAGCGATACTGGCTCTATACCAGCATGGCTGTGATTAGGCCAGAGGCACAAGGTCGCAGGCCGAGTGCTGGAGGCAATCACAGCCGCTGATATAGAGCCGGTATCGCTCGAGTACGAGAGTGATATTGCGTTTATACAACAGTTCGACGGAACATGTGTGTAATTAAACAAGAAAAAAACGGAGTGCCTAATAAAACCCTCTTTTGTGCGGAACTACTTCCTTCCACCACGGATTCAAAGCTCAAGTTGACAGTTAAACATACGTCACTTTTAGAATCCGTATCAAGGGCATGTGCTGCTTCAGTTAGGTTATTAGTGAGAAATAATGAGGTTATAAGAGAGAGATTGCGCTGTCAGATAAGCTCTCTTCTCAGCTCCCTCGGGGCACAGCTGCGCTTACCTGCAGTTGTGAATACAGTGATGGATTTGTACAGAGCTGTCTTTTCTCAGTCCACTGGTGTTTGGTTTTCATGTGATTTCTCATTGTGGTGGTGATATTATGATAACTCAGTTTCACTGATTCATTTGATCAAAGTAATTCCAAACTTCGTGAGGCAGACGACAACATTGTGATCAAATACAATCAACTTTTTAACACGCTACACACCGCCACCCAGTGCATTTAGTTATAACTGACTTTGAGTATGCCTGCTTAGGATTCATCATAGATTCCCTGCATTTATGGCCAGCAAAGCAAAACGTAGTAAAATTCGAATAGTGTTTTTATTTTTCGAATAATAATTACATAACGAATATTCAACTATTTGTGCACACCCCAAACCAATAGCCCAAAATGATATTTTTGAACCTCTGTTTTTGGTATTAATATCAGCCAGTGGTTACATTTGTTTGGACATCCTGCTCGTCTGATCTGCTTCTGGTACCGCAACAGAGTTGGGAAGGACTGATGTTGGGAAATTTCCTCTGTTTGAGTCACTCCGTTGGAGGCATAATTCTTTATATTGAGTGATTGCCATGTTGCTTGACTCAGCTTTGAAGTTTTACATCACAGACAGGTGCTTTAATATTCTGCTGTACACTTTTCTGATACACTTTGGGATTCATTTGTTCCTCGATGATAGAAAGCTTCTACCAGAAAAAAAAAACCTTCCTATACCAATATAGTCATTTCACCTTGCTTCACAGTTGAGATGATGAGTGGAGCAGAAATGTGTTGCAAGTATAGCAAGAGCAAGTAACCAATGTTGGAATTTCTTTTTCTATCCACCTTTTTTTCCCCTATGATTCAGATGCCTGTAGTCAGTGTGCTTTACATTCATGCTGCTTTATGGTTTTATAAAATGAAAAACACTCTCTTTTGACAATATTTTAACTGATTAAACCACAATCACAATCAAGCCACAATGTTTCCCTTTCTTCTGTGCATGGGTTACGCATAGACATTCTTCGGGAAAGTCTTCTTCTACACAAATGTATCCTTGATGCATTCTTAAAAAGAAATGTTCCAAAAAGGGGTTTTTGCTGTGATGCCATAGAATAACCTTTTTAGGTTCCTTTCAGTGGACAGATCTTAAAATAACCATTTTTATAATCTAAAGAACCTTTTCCACTATAAAGAATCTTTTTTTTGGAATGAAAAGGTTCCATGGATGTTAAAGATTGTGTAGCAAACAACAACAGCATATGTTGAACTTGAATTCAAACAATTAAGTTGATATTGTTTTTATAGCTTTTATATGATTATAGCCTTTATATGATATTAAATGAGATCTGAAAGGTAAATGTAACGCGCGTCGCGGCGCGAGTGCAACCCTTCCTCTCAAACAGTGAATAACGGAAATGAGCAAGAAGGGAGTGCACTGTTTCTAGATTTGGACCAGTGACCAGAAGATTAGACTCGCTCAAGAGACAGTATCAACAAGGGGAAAGGCAATGGCGACAACACTGGCTGCGTTAGAAACAGGTAAGATGTATTTGAGGAAAAAAATAATGAATACAATTAAAATAAAGCATTGGCATTTAAAACAACATCACAACATGACACAAAAGAAAAGTAATGGCAAAAATCTAAATAAAAACTTGTTCCAAACTAATTTAATTTTACCTTATATTTATTTATATTTTCTATTTAGTTTTGTGACTATTATTGATTGTTTACCTCTTTTTTGACCTATTTAAATTCAAGCTAATAAAGTTAATTGACCCTTACTTGG